AACACCCCCTTACTGTTCATTGTGGGGTCTCTTCTTTTGCTGATTTTCATCACTTAATGCGCAAGTGTTCATGATCTCGCATTTTCACTGTCCAAAGTGTATATTAAAACAGAAGTGGTTTCAAATAAATTTTAAAACTAAGAGATGACGAGTTACTGGATTCTGCGAATACTGCCTAAATCAAACTCTTGCAATAATTTTAGAAAGCTGTTCTAACATTTATTGCACTGGTTAACAACTACATTTTCTTGATATATTAGTTATCCAATTTCTACTACATTAAGACTAATAAATCAACAATAAGACAAGAAAGAATACATTAAAAATAACCAGTTTTAAATTATGGCCTTTCATGAGAGCTGTGTGAAAAAAATAATACAGGAAGTACTTAAAAATTTAGAATAATTCAAACATTTTATAACAAATCCTACCCAACTTCACAGATTTGCCATCTGAAGCATTTATACATAATGAAACTTAACCCCTTCGAGCCGGGTAGCGAAAACGAGCGCATATCACGGAGGCCGGCAGTGTCTTCCGCGAGCGTCTCTCCAGGGCCGGGGGCTTTTTTGCTACTAAGCCTAAATCGATGAAATTTCCGAAGTATCAACGCATTGTTTAATAATGCTCTATAGAGTTTTTAAATGCTTATGCTTTATAGATATTTTTATATATACTTTTAATTACCTTATTTCTTGTTTAAAAATGCATATTTTACACATTTTATTTTATTACTCACCATTTTATGACTTTTAACATTATACATCTGAACTAAATATATTACTTAAAATTCTCTTTTCGTATGAAAAATTTTAAAACAGGGATCTACCACGCAGTCAGTCCTACGTTACATTCCTTGAAACTCGTAATAACTCATTTGCCGTTTTGGAGGATTTTTCCGGAATGTGAACAAACGAAGCACCGTCGTCTCATTTTCTTATCAGTCTCTTCTGAACAAAGTTTTGGAAAATGTCTTTCAGTTAATCTTTCAGAATCAATATCTGAAATATTTTGCATCATTTCTGCTATTTCATGCTCTGTTAAACATTTTCGACGCTTCGACATTGAAACGGTAAAAACAGAAAAAACAGAAAGAATTCACGTCTAACAAGATCTAATTATTTTCTAAAAACTGAACTGTAAAAACCGAAATACTCAACACTTTAGCGCATATAAAACTTCTACTTACAATAAACAACTACCACGTGCGAAAAAGTGCAATTTAAAGAGACGTCATAAATCACGCCATTCGGAAACATTTAGTTCCCCGTTTGTTTATATAATAAAAAACACGTGTGTGTGAGTCATGCTTCTCTCATTTCGAGTAGAATGTCTAATGTACATGTATCTGAAACCATATGGGCATACATACAGTGCCATCTTGTGGCAGAAATTATAGTTTGAAAAACGTTCCAAGGTACTGGCACAAATACGTGACATTCGGTAGAAAATGCAACATTGCTCTGGCACGCCTGCGTGTCGGCCGGTAGATAAGTGTGTTCGTTGCCGGCATGTATACGTGACAGTCGGCGTGAAGGGGTTAATATATACATGGCCAGTTTAAGAAATCTTTCAAATGACTACAGAGTTTATCAGGTAATACTAAAATCTATTTTAATTTTTTTATTATTATATTTTATTGTTTATCATAAAGGATGTCTACAAGGATGCATATGTACCGGCCTTGCTTTAACTTGTACCTGTTCGCATAAAGAAGACAAAGTTACATCTATATCCAGAATGACAGATAAAAATTTTTGAGATTTCATGACAGACTGCCTAAAATAATTTAATTTCTTAAGATTAATTTGTAAAGATTATTAAACTCGTTTGTAATTTTAACCTCAGTTGCTTTGAAATTTACCTATAAATAAGTTAATTAAAAATTACTGTACATGGAATGCACAGGAGATAAGAATACAGACAAACATGATAACCACGACTGAAAGTCAACAGAATTCCGAGGGCATAATCAAATAACAGTAGTACTGATCACTCTGAGACCAAGGTTATTTAGAACCACACATGGTCTTCTTAGATTAGAATTGCTGTAGAAAGAGTTTCTAAATAAATGCAATAAATTGTAAAGTATGATTGAACACACCGAAACAAATGCTTTCCATTATATAATGTATAGTCACAAGCACAGTAGATACGCCATCATAAGATGCAATCAGGCACATGTACAAAGCAAAGGTTTTTCACATACAAATTTGTTAGTCACTGTGAATGAATCAATATATGATTGAAGAGAAAATTGATATGCATTTTGTAAGGTGTCTGGCTGACACTGCTGATACCAGCAGGTACTTGCAAAGACTTTACCAAGAGCTCTTACCCAAAATGCACATTCCTAATTATAGGATATTTATGAATTTGCACCACCAACTCTCAGACAAGAGGAATTTCCATGTTTCCATGTTTTCCCAACACACGCGGCAGAAATAATCAAATGCTGATCATGTGAGAAGAGATTATGCATCAGTAAGACAGCAGCCTAACATTAGCAGTGTCATTGTTACACTATTTTACCACATGTCATGCTTTGGTGAGTTTTATGGCCTGAATGTTAATGCCATCGTAAGGCAATCCTACCAATGGCACCACGGATAAGAGTTGCAGCCTAAAGATCATCTCGCATGCTCGTGCCTGCAGCACGGTGAAGTAGATCCAAAATTTGTAGTATACGCTCTGTTCAAGGATGAATCTTTTACTCATGAATAATGTGCATGTACTCCTAAATGTGCATGTTACAGCCAACTATAGTCAACGTACACCACATCCAATGACACTACATGTGAATGTATGATCGTGTTTTTTTTAAAGATTACCTCACTGGACCATACCTGTTACCACAACATCTGAAATGTGCGAGTTACCTCATATTTCTCAAAAAAAAAATGTTGCTGCAAATGTTTCAGCATGCATCGCCAGCCATCTACTGGAAAATATGGCTCCAGCATGACAATAGCCAGCACAACAATGTGTCCTTATTCACAAGCCATTTTTCCAGGCAAGTGGATTTGCTAAGGAGGACCCATGACCAAGCTCCCATTGTCATCTGATATTTCACTTCTCAATTTTTTGTGGAGGAACATCTGAAGTTTCTCATATATGAAACTCCTGTGGAGTCTAATGAGGATCTTCTAGCCAGGCTTTCAGTAACTGCCACATAAATCTGATATGCCTGGTATTTTTCAGACTATGTGGGAATCCTTATGCCAATGATGGAAGGCCAGCACAGAGTGTGATGGTCACCATTTGGAAGAATTCTGAAAGCCTATTTCATATCAGTAATTACTGATGTTTGTACCTTTTGTTCATTGCATAACTGTAATTCATGTAATTGTGATAGTATTATTTTGTCGGCACTTATTAAAATACACTCATGTCCATAAATTAAGGATAATGCAAAATCAGGCAAAGGAAGAGTTAGAAGCAAAACAAATTTGACTTATTTGTAAAGCTTATTTATTAAGCAAAAGGTAAAGAGCAAATAAAGATGCTATATGTTTGATATTATTAAAAAAATTAGCGATTTTTTCCCTCTGGAGCAACTATTTACAAAACTATTTACAAAAAAAAAACAAAAAAACAGTATTACATGGTTGGAATGATTGTTAATACACTGTATGTGTCCCAGACAATGCAATACAGTCCGTACAATGCTAGGCATGCTGAGTATCAAATTATCGCTCTGATCTTGTGAGATATTACACCACTCAAAAAGCAATGCTTTCCGAAATTACAGTAGACATGTAGGAGGAGGTTGATGGGCTGCAACTCGTCGGCCAAGCATGTCCCACACGTGCTCTACTGGATTCAAGTCCGGTGAGAATGCTGGCCAGTCCATACGGGTGATATCCTCCGATTGAAGGAATTCGCTTACGATGTTTGCACGGTGAGGACGGGCGATGTCATCCATAAACACTAATTGTGCGCCCATGGCGCCCCGAAACAAACATACATGTTGTTCCAGAATGACGTCCCAATAGATTTGGCTTGTCATGGTTCCAATCTGAACATGCAGGTCAGTTCTGGAACCGAGAATAATTCCACCCCAAAACGAGCACTCCCGCACCACTGTAACGGTGTCGTTCAATGATGTTTTCTTGGTGGTAACGGGTACCTGGAGCTCTCCATATGAAAGTCCAGCGAGAATCAGACTGCAAGCTAAACCTGGACTCGTCGGAAAACATCACACAAGCCCACTGTTGCGGTGTCCACAATGCATGCTCTCTACTCCAGGCTAACCGCAGGCGAAAGTGAGTTGCAGTACGTGGAACGCATCTGACAGGTCTACGAGCATATAGACCAATCTGCCCTAAGCGTATGTACACGGTCTGCCTTGAAATTGTCGTACCAGTGGCTGAAGAGAGCTGACGAGACAGGTCTGAGGCTGTGCTCCGCCTGTTTCTTTTGGCAGTAACTGCCAAATAGTTTTTTATTTGGTCCTCATTTGGCGTTGTAACTCTGGGGCGACCTGTGCTGTAACGTCTACTCACATTACGATCATCTTGGAATTGTTGCCAAAGCCTGGAGATGACACTCTGGGCAATTCCAAGTTCGTCTGATACTTCCAGTTGGGTACGCCCACATTCCAGACGGTCGATAACTCTATCACGTAAAAAATCATCCAAATGCGTCCTTTGTGTCATAAGTATTCAGTTATTGCACTGAAATGCTTATAAAGCGTCTACGAACAATTTTACTTCTTTGCCTGTATTCCTTATATATCACTCTCTTACATTCTCGTCATTGTGACGTACCATCGGTGTCATCTGGTTACTTCCTGAAATTTGTATATGATTCTTGAAGATGTGTGTAGTGATTTTACAGGTGATATATTTATTTTAGAGTTCGATTTCCACATGACTCCGAATTATCCTTAATTTATGGACATGAGTGTATATTTTTCTTCATTAAACCTTTGTTTTGATCTTTCATACCTCATTTTGAGTAAAATTCTCTGAATTTGCAACCACACATTCCTATTGTGAAAAGTGTTCTTTTTGGTGTGTGCTTTATCACTCATTAATATTTGTTGCATTAGTTTAGAAACAGCTTGCATATATAAAGATGAAAAGTAAAAATATTTCATTACATTTTGTTTGAGCGGAAAAGTAAAATTAACTTACTTTATGAGTTTCTTCAAAACTTATAGCCAAAGCTGGAGATGGAAGCCTAGGAGTACGGCATTTTTCCACATCAAAATCTTTAAGAATCAGCAATAAGGCATCAGTCAATAATGTATGTTCTGAAGACTGTTCCTCATCACAAGACATTTTTAAATTGTTTAAAATAGAAGCAAAAGTTGCACTAATGTTTGATGTAAATTTATTTAAACTTGCATGCAATGAATCACTGGATACAAATGGCACACCAAGTTGTTTACATAATGCAGGCCATAGATTCTGAATCCAAGGATCTACTCCAGTCTCAATTCTAAACAGAGAGAAAAACTATTTAATAGAAAAGACTTTTACATAAAAGTACTATGCTTAATCTCTTTCATGGATGTTTTACAATGAGTGAATACACAAAACCCAACATTTTAGCTTTCAAATAAGTTCTCTTCTCTGCTTCCAGAAGAAAAAAACTTCACTTTCCTATTGTTTATTGTTTTGGGTTTATATATTGCACACATAAATTTTCTTAGGCTAAAATTATTTTAATAATTTTAGTCGGCAATTACAATTTTTTAACACTTCTTAATTCGCCTAACTCTTTTTGTTTTTGAAAATGGTTCAAATGTTTTCATACACATTTTTCTTGACTTGCTCTTCACACGATAAATGATAATATCCATCACTCTTCCAGTCTTAGATTTATTAGTTCTCTACTTTTTCCATTCTTTTCTTTTTTTAATGAAATATGAGAAATGTCTTAAAAACATCTCTAAAAATCTTTGGACTATAGCATTAAATTACACTACTATGCCCATATTATTGATTTGTTGTGACAAGTGTTGCCACTAAACTAAACACAAGATTTATCATCTATCTTCCATGTTGTGATGTCCCATTTCAGTTCTTCATACTTCCAAGATTTTCCTTCCTTTCTGCAGGTGTTTGAAGTGAAAACATCGCACATCACACCTTTTTTGTTTTATTTCTATTTTCTCCTCCCACTTCACTATAATTAGTGGAGAGATGTTTGTAGATAGGCATATGATCAAAGGAAGAGATTCATACTTTATAATGTGTTATTATTTCACAAAAGTTTTTCATCTTTATAATACAATATTAGAGATAATTAATGATGTATTTACACAAGAATCTGAAAGAGCATAGCATCATTGTGACATCATTTCAAACATACTTCAAAATCCTAACTAAAAATATTTTCATTTTACCTTTGTTCATTCTGCCTTTGTTACAGCTGTAAAAAAAAATCTACTTTTTACAGAAATTGCAGCATTTAAACAAAATCTGATCAAACAAAAAACATAACTGCTATAAAGTTATTCTACAGTACTCTTTATTTTCAATGCATACAGTGTAAATTTTACTTCATTGAATTTTTCTCTTTAAAAAAGAAAAAAAAAAAAAAAAAATACTACGAAACTACTTCAGAAAGAAAATGTAGTGAATGATTTAAAAAAATTATACATTGCAAAGTTCAGGATCCAGACATCCAATATATGGAATGATCTAAAATCTGGACATCAAAGCCACCACAGACTTTTTAAAATTTTTAAAAATTTTTGTGTGTGTGCTTTACGCATGCACATTTGATTCTCCACACACATAATAAAACATGTGGAGAGTCCCGATTCTTAATTTCACTTCGGCACTAAATAAAATACCTTGTTATTAAAGAAACAATAATTTTAGCATAAATTTGTAAGATCAATAATTTGGCTTTGTAGCAGCTCGGCGTACTACATCTCAAACCAAAATATCCTTGATTTTACTCCTATTAATATTTTATATTGCTCATGCCAAACTGGCGAATTATTATTTATTATATTTGGCTTCCATCTCCACGTTTATAAATACATGACTAATGACTCATGTCACAATGCCTAAACAATTTTTTATATTAATAATTTAATAACAAAGAGTATGGTAACCTTTTATGCTGACATTACGCTTGGCGATGATTAGAGATTTAAAAGTGCTAAGAAATGCTGACAGGAAAAATTTAACAAATATCTTTCCATATGCTAAAAATAGACTTTGTAATGATACACATAGACCAAAAGAATATATTTAGTGCCATTTGAATTAAGAATAAATGATTTGTTAATTGCATAAAACCAGAACCACTGCCAGAAGCTTGTATGGTCGCATCGAGCGGCAGAAAAAGGGAGATGCTTGGTAGCAGAATTTAGGACTCGCAGAGACTGCACCAGGCAGTAAGATTTCTAATGCCGGCCCTCAGTAAGCCTTAAGCATGTGCAAAGGAATAGGTGTAAGTGAGACTTAACTGTCTCAGTGTGCTATAAAATATGATAAGATAAATAACAAACATATAACAAGATAAAATTTAGTGAAACAGCTTGTCTTTAGATGCCAATCTCATGATACATAGCCAAACATGTATAGTGAATGATAGCTAAATTTTATGATGATAGCCGCAAATCTGAAAGTTTTTGGATATCGCAAGCCAAAGGTGAAATTTTCTAATTAACAGGTTTTGTAAAAAATGTGGAGAAGCGGTAATAAATGAAGATGATATAACAGAAGTTTTACATTGCGACGACAATGCCCCAATCATCAATCAATTAATGGATGGCGAAATCTGTAGTATGGTTCTAAATCCAGAAAATACCGCTTCCCATAATGAAGAAAGTGACAGAGAGGTTATTGAAAACAAAAAAATTTCGATTGACATGTTAGTCAGTATTCTCGACACAGTAGACAGGACTTGAACAGTGGAACTTTTTAATTGAAAAAGAAAATTATGTCTGTTTATAGAATTAAAGAGAAAGTATTAGCACAAAAGACGAAGCAACTTAAACAACTTGTAAAAAATGTTTATTAAAGCAGACAAATAAATATCAAGCTTTTCTTTTTTCTAAATTTTGATACTTTTTAGTGCATTTATGCTTCATTATTTCATAAATTACGATTTCATAGTTTTAATTTTATTATTTCTATATGCAATCTTACTAGATTTAAAATGATGATTCTATCCGGAAAAATTCCAAACCTGGAATCGCGCAAGTCCTGATTAAGTCCGGATCTTGGACTTTGTTCTATACTTTGGTTATGCTGTTTCATAAAAATGGAAAGCAATATAATACTTGTTCTAAGAGATGTGTAACCACAATAAGCTTTTTGTTAGATAATATAACAATCCTTACAATAAATTTCTACCCCTTACTAGTCACAGTACAAATAAATTAAAAGAAGGGAAAGACAGGATAAGTTTATATTTTAATTTAAAAAGATATATAACATTATATATAATTCTCTCTTTTATTAATATTTTGATATTATTAAAGCAGATAACTTTAACGTAATTACTTCAAGTGGAGCAGAAAACATCTGCAGTTGGCTTATACATATACAATGCATTTGAAAAATTTTAAGACTGAATGTACTCCATCAGTCAGTCTATGGGAAACTAGGAGCCCACAAGCAGCTGGGCAGTAAAGTCACTCAGCACTGGTAGTTCAACCTGGGTTAAATTCCAGGCAAATGTTTTGGCTACGTGGATTGTTTGGGTCGTTTTCCCCATGTGGATATGAACTGTCTATGGATATTTTAAGGGAAGGGATACTTTTGTAAAGAAATTTCCCATAGAAAGTCCTTTACAAAGGTATTCCTTATCTTAGACAGACAGACCTAGCATGATTCCCCATAATCAAATAAACCAAGCTAAGGGGAAATACCAAAAGTTAGTAATTACCATGGAGGTAGAAAGTAAGAAGGAGAGGCCCTAACCGGTTTTTCCCATACACTGCTTTGAAGAACTGATGATCCCTTCGTGGTGACCAAAACATTCAGTGGCTTACCATTAAGATCAATGGGAATTGACACAACTAGATGTAAATATTTTGTAATTATATTGTAAATATGCATACAAATGTATATATTTTCTTTTTGTACAATATTTCACAGTCCTAAGAATGTGAAAAGAATACATCTTTAAACAACATTTCATTCTGAATGGAATTAAAGACTATACATTTCACAGAAGAGTTTCCTCAGAATGGTTTAATTTGAACGAAATATTTTCACAACTTTTCGTTAACTACATTAAAAAAATTTTTATGCATTATTATTATTATTATGCATTATTTCTTTTCTATTTATAGAGTTTCTTCCTAAAATGCTTTCTCAAATATGACATGATTTTTTAGCTTCTGAGGCATCTTTTAAAATGAAAAATCCAAGTCGATTTATAATTAATGCTCTATTCGGTCCATTTCAAATTAGAGCGTCTTTTATTTTTAATAGTGAAGTACATTAATTATTGGTGTTCATTTCAATGTACTTCTCTGAATATTTTTGAAAGGAAATTTAAAAAAAAAGGATTTTTTAAAATATTATTTAAAACTTGCAACTAAGTTATTATAAAATGTAAGGGAATAATTCTTTAATTATACTTATCAGATTTTTTTTACCCTTAATTTCCACACTACATATTCTAAAACGTTATTACTTCCTTAAGTACACATCTCACAGGATTTGCTTTACAATACCTTTTAACAGATTGCTTTTGAGTACAACAATTCTTGCTTAAATAGTTTTATAAACGTATTTGTCAACAGGATTTCAATTCATGTTTACAATGCAGTGTTAAGGTTATTATATATTTAGATAATATTAATAATCATTGTAAATTTAGACGCATTTAATAATTAGATTTCTTCACAGTAACTTACACAGGAGTTTATGAATGAATAAATCCTTCATTTCAAAAACTTTTACATATAATTTGATAAATATTTACGTATTTTTTTAAAGGCAGATACATGCTTTTTGCAAGCATATGCATAAATACCCATACATATTCCATATTTTTCATTTCTGGCATGTGCAAATCTTTAACTTCTGTGCATTCACCATACACACTACAAAGTTTGAAAACTTCATAGATGCATTGTGCATGAGCGTGCGTGTACATGCATATGGGCTCAGAATACCCTTCGCATTCTTAATCGCTCACATAGCTTTTTTTAATGAATATAGCTAGAGACAAATGTGACAAAGTCAAACAGTTAGGTGCACTACCTGGTGAGTTTATTTGTTTGACTATGACAAAGCATGCAAAGCTTTCTGTCTAATGGAAGGAATGCCTTGCAGCACAGTCTAAGGAAAGCTAGTTTGCATTTATATTACACATAAAGAAAGCTACAAAAACATGCACGCAGCTGCCATTCACCAGGATTTGAACTTTGGTTAAAATATTAACATTCAATGATCTTATCTACTTGGTCACCAGTAAGCCACTACTAAAAGGACAGATAATTGTGCTCCCAAAGGCAAAAT